CGGTTATTTGATTTAGCCTTATAAAGATTCCCAAAAATAAATTTTTTTTAACTTTCTCACACAAGGAGACAACTTCCTCTCCATCTGCCACTATTTGATAACCATAACACTTAACACTACTTCCTTATCTCTCACATCTGGGCTACTTTAAGATGGTATCTTACTCAGTGTGAATATATCACTCTGATTATTACTCCAATGCATTGATTGGCCTATATACAGTAACCACCAGGACTATAGTTATTCTCGTGACTTGTGACACAGAAGCAATAATAACCACAGGAAAGCTGCATAGAATTCATTGTAATTTTCATTTCCCATTTTAAACATCAGAGCAGGAATGACCCCAACTCGACCTACAATGAAGAGAACCTGGCTCAGTGTGTTCTTGATTTTTTTATTGCTGGAACAGACACAATTTTTGCTACTCTGATGTGGGCACTGCTCCTCTTGGCAAATCATCCCCACATCCAAGGTGAGAGAAATCTGGGCAGTGGGAACAAGGGCCAACTCTCAGGTTCTAAAACACACAGGAATTCTTTGAAATTGTTTGAAAAATTAATGGCTATTGAATGACAAACCGAATCTATTCTTCAGAATAATTTTTCTGTGTGGATTCTTGAACCTATAATCAGGAACATGAGCTTAGCAGGATTATCCTCAAGAAAATATTGAGTGATTAACTAAAAACTGGAAAATATTTAACACACTTTAAATGCAGAAATCTACCAATCTTTTCAGATTTGGTACTTGTTTTCAGCCTAAATTTTCTATAGAAGAGATGATAATGAATATACAAGGGCTGTGCAAAAATTTGATCCAGATCCAGATTATTTTCAAGACAATTATTACTTTTTTTTTTTTTTACTGAATCAGATTTCCAAAGTGGATGGGATTGAATTTGGAGACTGATTTGACTGAAGGAGATTCAATGGAATCTTTCAACTAAATCAACAATTTGCATCAAAATTCTGAATCAGTTTGGACTGGATCAAATCAGAGACCAGGAAACACATTTTAAATCTGCACTCCTTCATGATACTCAAAAGGAGGATGGGATTACATTTAATGCTCAGAAGGTATTTTACATCCTAAAGTACTACTGAGGATTAAAACTAGGAAATAAATAAATAACTAAAATACAATATTGAAAACGAAGCTTCTATTTCCATGATTTTTTTCTAGAGAAAGTCCAGAAGGAGATTGAAGATGTGTTTGGCTTCTTGGGGTCAATTTCCTATCAAGATCGGAAGAAACTGCCCTACACCAATGCTGTGATTCATGAAATGCAGCGAATAAAATATGTCTTGCTATATGGGGCTCCCAGGCAAAGTAAAAAGGATGTGAAGATGAGGGGTTACCACATCCCAAAGGTAGAGAAACTTGTTCAGGCTGCAGTCCAGGAATCCAGCATGGAAGGAAAACCACCAGATGCCATGTGGACAGAGGCCATTTGCTCAGAAACTGCCAGTTTAGTTGCACAAAATAAAATGGGCAAGAATAGCATACTTTTTTTGGGGGGGTTGCGGGCTTAAATCCAAACACCTATCATATTTTAAAGCTAGAACCCTAAATGTTTTAAATTTATTCTAGGAAGACGATAAGAGATTAAGAGCTGAACCTAAGTTCAGGATTGTAGTCATGTGTGGCCAAGTTTCTTCATTTATGTCTCCTTCTTGGCCAACCTGGAGTGATAAAGAATGAGGGACCCAGCCCTTTTTTCCAATGAAAGGAAGAGGAGAAAGGAAGCCAAGCTTTTGAGCAGCCACTGCTGTGAGAAACTTCTTTGGGAATGAACAAATGTGGGTTGATAAAGGCAAGCTATGAGCAAATGTTTCATGAATTTTGTTTGAATGTTTTTGCCTGTTTACCTTATGAAACTGCTGTTTAATCACCTTTTTTTTTTTTTTTACAGGGGACCATTATTGTCCCAGACCCACGCTCTGTTCTTCATGATCCTGAACACTGGGAGACACCTGAAGAATTCAACCCAAATCATTTTTTGGACAAAGATGGGAAGTTCATCACCCGGGAAGCGTTTCTGCCATTCGGAATAGGTAAATCTGTGAGTCCAAAGCAGCTTATACCTTATACATTCCCAGAAGCACCACCTCTGCCGAGTTCTGAGGTCATCGTGGTCTGAATATGAAACCCAAGAATCCTTACTTCTTCTAGTTTCAGAACTAAGAGAGACTGAAGTTCCTCTTAGGCTATACACTCAGGAATTTAGAAGAAGATTTCAATCTCCCACATTAGAGCTTTGTAAGAGATGTACAAGATTGCACTATCACACAACTCCACTAATCCCATCACATCGCCCCACCCCTTAGTATCATACTATCCCCTACTTGCATTCCTCCATAGCCAATCCAACTACAACAGGAAGAAATTGAGCCAGTAATCCTATAGATCATGTCCATACTACCTCCCTCTGCTCCAGCTGTAGCCTGATGCACTGTAGAATAAGTTGGTGGACAGAGAGCTGAGAAAGTGACTTCCCTCTTTTAGGCCGATCTCTGGAAAAACATGCCAGATCAGTTTTTTCAGGGGTGTATAGCTTTGCCTTTGAAATGGTGTACCATTAGATTATGTACTAGTGTAACCTGAGTTCAAGTCATCACCCAGTGGGGTATCAACAAACTGAGTAAAAGGGAAAAAACACCTCTAGTAATTGAATCTGCTAGAAGATACTAGGATTCAACTTGGAAATCTCCTGGGGCCCTTACAAGTCTTTTCAGATTTATTTGCTGATCAGGATATACTCTGAGGAATAGACTGTTATTCCCTTTCTGCATGCCTTGTGTCATCTACAGGTCAGCGGGTCTGTGTGGGAGAGCAGCTGGCAAGAATTGAGACCTTCATCTTTCTGACCAGCCTGTTGAGGGCCTTCAGCTTCCAGCTGCCTGAAGGAGTGAGAGAACTGAATCAAGCACCTGTTGTACAGTTGATCGTGCATCCACACCCTTACAAACTGTGCGCTGTTCCCCACACAGGCACAAAAGTTATAAAAACACCACGAAAAGCATAAAACTAATTACAGTATACTTCTTCAGTATGGTAAAAGTTTCCTGTATGCCCATTCACTTAATCTGATATTCTGCCTCTGTTTAGTCTACACGGCAACTTCTTCAACCTATTGATGGGCTTATTTAACCTGGTCAACAAAAGATAATAGGTGTGAACAATATGCTAAGTAAGCTTGTTAATTTTCACCTTTGTTTTCTTTTGGGTGGGAATAAAACATATTACTTTCAATTTACTCTTAGTGCCTTTTTTCATTTTTTAAAAATGTCTTGTGGACTTCACATTTTCCAGCCAAAGCAAAAGGTAGCATTTATTAAAATTACATTTTTTAATCATACATCTTTCAAAGAGAAGAGGGAAGCATTTTCATTGCACAGAATCTTGGTAAAGTATACGTGCTCGGTTTATAGAGCATCCAACCGAAGTTTTTCCTAAAGTTTTGGATTATGACTCAAAATACATTTCACATAAGGCTGCCTTTACGTAGCACTTGGAAGCTGCAGTTATTCCAAAACACAGTGGTCCATATGCTAACTTCCTCGTGAGATGGGCAGTGACCAAATTTGAAATATCAATCAATCAATAAATAACTGTCTCTCTCCAATACGCCCTGCTTTGGCTACCAATTCCCTTCCAGGTGCAATTGAAAGTGCTGGTTTTGACCTCTAAAGCCCTTTATAGCTTGATAACTGGTAACTACTTGGTAACTACTTGATAACTGGTAACTACTTGATAACTACTCCAGCTAGAATTATTTAAAAATATTAGGTAAACAGGAGAAAAGCTTTTTGTAGTGTCCCACTTTTAGGAAATTAAAGGATCTGAAGCAAGGAGGCACTGTTTACTAGTGGCAGTGCCTGTTTTTTGGAACAGACCCCCAGCAGAGTAAGTAAGTAAATTTATTATTGTAACCATATGTCATTATGTATAATGTGCCATAAAATACAATAAAATAACAGTAAATTATTGTACAATAAGGTATAAAAGGAGTATTATATATAAAAAGGTTACAGTAAAACAAAGCCAAGGCTACAGCTAAGAACTTAAATATTTTTTTTCTAAGTTTAAATGAAAGCAGAGCAAAAGTAGCAGCTTGGTTGCTGACAGTTAGAAACACACTTGCAAGAAGATATTTCAATTTTTTGAGATCGGAGCCGTTGAGTTCATCCACCATCAGCAATTTGGCCCTAATCTCATTGTCCTTGGGGCAGCGGAGGACATAGTGGACAAGGTCCTCCACTTCACCAACACCACAAGGACAGAGGCGTTGTTCGACAGGGAGCTTACCAAATCTCCCTTTGAGATGTGCAGAGGGCATGGATTAAAGGCAAAGGGATGTTAAAGCCCTTCTTAGTGACACCCTGTGGGGTGTCGACAAACTGAGTAAAAGGGAGAAAACACCTCTAGTAATTGAATCTGCTAGAAGTTACTAAGATTCAACTTGGAAATTTTCTGGGGCTCTTAGAAATCTTTTCAGATTTACTTGCTGATGGGGATATACTCTGGGGAATAGGCTATTCTTCCCTTTCAACATGTCTTGTCTCATCTATAGGTCAGCAGTTATATGTGGGAGAGCAGCTGGCAAGAATTGAGACCTTCATCTTTCTGACCAGCCTGTTGAGGGCCTTCAGCTTCCAGCTGCCTGAAGGAGTGAAAGAATTCAATCAGGCACCTGTTGCAAAGGTGATCGTGCATCCACACCCTTACAAACTCTGTGCTGTTCCCCACACAGCCATAAAACTTATAAAAACGCCATGAAAAACATAAAACTAATGACAGAATACTTGTTCAGTATGGTAAATGTTTTCTGTATGCCCATTCACTTAATTTGATAATCTGCCTCTATTTACTCTAGACAGAAACTTCAACCTATTGCTGGGTTCACACAACATACTTAACCAGGTCAATGAAAGAGCTGGAGGTTGTGTGAGAACACCATGCTAAGTAATCTTGTTAAGGTTTACCTTTCTTTCTTTTTGGGTACCAATAAAACATAATACTTTCAGTTTACTCTTAGTATCTTTTTTCTTTTCTTTTTTTTGAAATTTCTCATATGGACCTTTCTTTCTTTTTGGGTACCAATAAAACATAATACTTTCAGTTTACTCTTAGTATCTTTTTTCTTTTCTTTTTTTTGAAATTTCTCATATGGACTTCACATTCTCCCACCAGAAGAAAAGTGAAACCACATGTGTTTTCCTCAGGCCTTTCATACAGAACAGATGCAGCTGCTTTAAAAATAGGAGGGCAACTATGGTAGTTTCGTTGAGTCAAATAAGGATTGGTTTGACCCCAGACTCAGTGACACCTAACAAGTCTTGGACACCAACTGTTTTTCTTTTCATTTCTCTCCATTGTATTACACAAAATGAAATATTACCTTTCTATTTTTGTCAGGTGCCCTAGCCATTGAGGGTATGCATGGCATTGTCATTTTATGAAAAATAAATAGATTTATCTTCATGTAAACCTCAATATAACCTACCAATCAACTTGTAAAGCAGAATGCACAATATCCCAAATGCTGCAAGAACAGGTTACCTAAAATTTATTTCATCAAGTTGCTGAGGTTTTTCCCAAAGGCACCAAATGAGGGAATGTAATGTTATATATTACAATGGTGATGAGTGCAACACTGGGAGAACTGAAAGAACAGGTTAGGGATAGATTGTCATGGGGAAAAACTATCTATGTGGTCGCTAGGATTCAAAAACAACTTGATGGCACATAATCAAATACTTATGTATTGCAAGGAACCAGTATTGCACACTAGAATAATAATGTCAAACAAGGATGAATTAGTCAGGCAATATTTACAGGTTGAGCAATCCAATCGATCAAAGATTTGACGCATGTTCTGTGAGTTTCTACTCAAGACTGAATGGAGCAAGCCAAGATTGAATTTCACACTGGCATAAATGTATTCTAAACCAGAGTGTGCTAATGATATTTATAATTTATGATGTCTTGTGGTGAGGAACAGCACATCTTTTATAAGAATGAGGGTATGTGGGTATGTTGTCTACCCAATTCTAGATTCTTTGGGGGGGGGGGTTCTCTCCTTCTGGTAACTGGAAGATGAATGTTTTGAGCAGATTTGTAAAGAAGATAAAGAGCTCAATATTTGCTAACCTATCCTCTAAAGACACATCTGACCCTGTGGAAGAAATGGAAAGAATAATTACAAATATCATAGCAAAAGAATCATGAGACAACCACTAGTGATAACCTTGACAGAGGAAGCCATCTGAGGATACAAACTCCCAAAGTGCCCTCCTGACCATCTGAAAATCCTCTTCCATGTGAAGGGCATTATTTTAATACACAATTTTATACTCTATATATTTCACATAATGTATAAACATACATGTAACAGTGAATTCTATCTTATAAAGGGTTAACTTGCTTTTGCCTTCTAAAGAGCACAGCGTTTCTCCCCCCCCCCCACCTCATCTCTTTGTTAAATGTCTGATTGTCTTCGAATGAATAAACAATTAGCTTGGTACAAGGTTGAAGAGGCCCCCTGAATTCCACAAGAGATAAGGAGGTGCTGACGTATGGTACTGTATTTCCTTGGTAACAGGAGAAGAGAGTTGAGCTGACTTTCTCTTTCTGAGACTCACCCTCCCTCCTCCCTAGACCACCCCTGCATTTCCTTGTATGGGTATGAGGGATGTACTATCTGATTACATTTGTAAATGTCTATAAATTTCTGATGTTTGCTTTGCAAGGTGTGGTTTCAATCAACATTCATTGCCACAATGTTGATTGGGCTCACCCGGATGTGTCTTGGCCAAAATATATCTGTTTATTTTCAAAGAAGTCTCGTCTCAAGTTTTTTTATCTGGCTCTCTAAAAACGTGGGTAGCATAGAGTGCCTTACACATGCCTCCTCTTTTATCATTTCACCTGGCAGTACTCCAAGAACTGGCTGAGAGACAAGAGCCATAAGTTATTTTCTGTTAGTATATGAAGATCTTCTTCATTCTCCCAACATGATTAAATTTGTTCATGAATTGACCTATTGTCTAGCTTCACACAATACATTCAACTATAAATTAAACCAAGTGCCTGAATTCACCTAACATACTAAAAGCAGTAACCCAAATTTACATGAACCAAGCTTCACACTTCATTCACATGTAGCCATTAGGTCTTAATAGGCCTGGTTAAAAGTATTGTACACACAGCCGATTGAAAAGCAAACTCTTGTCATTAATTTATTATATAGTTTGATCATTAAGATAGCATTGCTGCAGCCTAATTCATACAACACTAGGCTCTAATGTTAGGAGTAAAATTCCAGCTTACTGTGTATTGTATTAACCCACATGAAGAGTAGTTTGTAAATCATGTTTCTATAGTTTAGTGTGTTGTGAAATTTAGCCAACTACAGTATGATTTATCCAGTGAATGATGATTTAGTATGGCTCATGGACCTTGTCATGGCCCTATTTCTGCAGCACAAAACATTATTGTTCTTTACCAACCAAGTTATAGCATGTTGAAAGATTTCAGGTTCTGTATAAGAAACAGATAATTTAGGGACTCACAATTGATCTCCAAATCTTGCTACGTGGAATAATTGTGCCTTTTATCTTTGAAAATAATACCCAGCTTTCCTAATTAAAACAAACTTCCTACATAAAGCAGCACAGTCAATATGACAATAGACCACTTCTATATTTACCAGTAGCAAGTAGCTGAAATTCTTCTGGGGTGACAAATTGTCCATCGTTGTCCAAAATGACTTCGGTTGAATTTCTCAGGTGTTTCCCATACTTTGGGATCAAGAAATATTGAATTCAGATCTGTGTTAACAAAATAAACCTTGAAATAATTATTTAAAAAAAAACAAAAACAGCTGACTCAGAATGCATCCAAACTATTCCATTTCAGATTAGTTCCTCACTTTCATAGGACCATTTTTTTGAGCATTTTTCATATATTATGTACAAGCTTCATCCATCTGGAACCAATTATAATGTATTTCTATGGCACACCTGAACCTGTATCAACTGGTGTGCCTCTTAACAACTGGAGATAGTAAAAAATCATTCTGAACATGAATAAAGTAAAATTATACTCTTCCTCATTTTTTTTTAAATGCTGCCAAAACCTATAAGCTATAACCACTGGTGAAAAGAACAGG